TTCTACTAGTACTTTAATCATTTTTTACAAAGTTATTAAGTTTTAATTAAAATGCTATTTAATATTTTATCTAAAATGGATATTGATGTCTATGATAAGCTAGATAAAAAAAAAATCTATTGAGCATGTTGTCTCATTTTAGATATTTGTGATATTTCAAAAAAAGGAAAAGGCAAAGTGGATTGAGTAGGGATGATAGAGTCAAAATCTCTGAATCTAAGTAACCCAAGTATTATTTTGTAATACAATTTTAATTATTGTGATGTATAGTTTTCATTTGGGTTGGACTATTGTATATATTCATTTTGATGAAATGAAATGTGTTTACACTGTTATTTTTATTTGAATGTTGTAGTAGCTCTAGTTGTTTCTGTTGGTAGTTGAGTTATAATTATAGGATTAGACTTTTAATCCTTCCGTTAAATTTTACGGCAACACGTACACGACTACTCCATCTTTCACATATTAGTTTGACCTCTTTAAAGAACTCATAAACTCTTGTACCTAGTGAACAAAAAAGATCACCAAATACAATTGAAATTAGGTGCTACACCTATTATAATCTGCCCAAATTATAACCCTCATCATCCAAACAAACTTCCATTAGAAAACTACTCCAAGAAATGCTTGCACAACCATGGTTGATTAGACCAAGCATAAGTACATTCACTTTCCCAATTCTGCTAGAAAGAAAATAGATGGTTCATGGCATTTCCTGTGTCAATTATCATTAACTCAACTAGTCTACCGTTCCAAATGAATTTTCAGTGCCCCCTGACGCGATTCGACCTGCCCGATCAGGTCGCGGGGTCTAGGGACAGCGTCCCTGCGGGGGTATTCGGGGGCAGCGCACCTAAACAAATTTTGATTTACTATTTCTCTTTGTATTTGATTCATCATTCCCTAGAAATAACATATATACACAATATATTTAATTATATTAGGGACAATTGCCTAGAGATCATAGTATTTTAACATTTTTTAGGGGGGAAAATTACCTAAAACCTTTATAATAAAGACTAAAAAATACCTAATTAATAGTGTAATGAAAAAAAAATTTAGGGGGGGCAACCCCTAGCCATAATGGGGTTCCGCTCCTAATAACAGCACAAACTCTTAACTATCGAGATATTATTTATTTTGGCCTAAGAGCCTCACAGCTTTGTCCTTTTGATGTAAGTTCCCAGTGGGTAACCCATCTTAGAATTGATTTGGGATGAACATATTTAACTGCGGAGTTTCTTATGAAAATTCCAACAATTACATCAAAAAACACCTCGATGTTTAAGAGTTAACTTTCTTTTACTTAAGAGATTTTATACCATTAACATACACATGACAACCTTCCAAAAAATTGATAAAGTATGAATTCATGGTGATGGCCTTCAGCAACACCAATGCTTTGACTACCTTTCAGAGTATCATAAATTATATTCTTAAGCCATATAAATTTTTTTTATTATTTTATTTATGATATTTTTGGCATGCATCAAAACCATTCAAAACCATCTCTTACACCTTCAGATTGTCTTTTTTTGCATTTCCTTCACCTATGATGGACAAAATGCTCTTTAAACCGAACCTACATCGATTACATTGGCTGATTGGCAAGCAATTTCTGTGAACCAAAATAAGAAAAGAACTCAAGTATTCTTCAATGGACAATTCCTACAATCAAGAGCCTCAACAAGTTCTTAGGCCTCGTTAGATACTGTCAATGCTTCATCCATAACTTTTTCCAAATAGTTGCAACACTAACAAACCTATAATAAAAGTACAACATCCTATGTAAAATTATAACTTAATAATACTATGAAAAATTACGCAGCTCATAATGAACTATCTATTGGTTGAGAGATTTGACTAATAACTAAGAGGTCGTTGGTTTGAAGCTTGCATATGTTATATTTGTATGTTTGTCTTATTTGACTTAAATATTTCGACAAATTGTAATAAATTCTAACAAACCAATCGTTGCTATTATTGCTTGATGTTACACAAACTTTAATACTTGATGCGGGTGCCTCCAACATTGACATTAATGCAGTTCTTAGTCAACAAAGTAATTCAATTGTATTCTAATTTATAGGTTTTAACATTTATCATAGGGCATGAAGAAATGGAAGAAATATTTATAGGTTTTAACATTTACCATTTTGACACATAAAAAAAAAAACTAAAGTATCCATTAATTCTTGACACAAAAAATCCAAACATTGTAGAAGTAATCTTTCTTATAAAACTCTTAGGCAATGAATATAACATTAAGTACAAACTGAGCAACACTAATAAGAGGGCATATGTAATCTCATAGATAGACAATCATGGTGATATTTTTCTTGAATGTGTCACAAGTCTCACACTGCTTTCTAACCTCACTTGCCATCTCGTCGAGTAGTTGTACCATTAAACAACATCAATTCTTGAACCAGTTCAATTATAACAACAAATTAATCGAATCTTGCTTCCTACACCAAATATTGACTTCGGAATAGACTCATTTTTAAGAATGACCTGGTGCTGTTGAACTTTTCATCTAATCTCAAACAAGTTCTCTATCAATACCCTAGGTGGATTACTTCTCCATATCTAATATATTACATTATATGTAGGGGTGTCAATTCAGGTCAATGGGTCGGGTTCGGGTCGAACCCGGAATTGACCCGGCACTGTTTTTAAAAACGAGTCAGGTTTTTAGGCCCGAACCTGACCCCATTCGAGTCTGGGTCAACCTGACCCGACACGAATGACCCAAAATGGACATAAAATCGCTAGTTTTTGGGTAAAAAAAGGGTCAAAATTGGTCAATCTCGGGTTTCCGGGTCAAATAGGAGTTTTCGTGTCAATTTCGGAGCATTTTTGGGTCAATTTCGGGTTGCTGAGTCAACCCGAACCCGACCTGATTTTTAAAACGGGTTGACTTGTTGAACCCAAATACAGCCCGTTTCCGGTCCAGTTTGACCCTAACCCGAATTTTTTTGGGTCGAATTCTGGTCGTATAAAAAATTTACACCCCTAAGTACATGTATTCCAATCTTATCTCAAATATTTTATTTGGGATATTTCCTATTGTAATATCTCAAACTTACATACGTCGATATGTTATCCTCTCAGCCAAATGTTCTTATGTTTTTTATATTATTGGTGTAACCTCTCTAGAGTTCACTCATCTAAGGAGTGTTCTTATATAAGTGCGCTTAACATGGAGTTTACAATGAAATTTCAACCATTACACAATAAGAAGTCAAATTCCAACAATCTTATAAAAAGGCATCTCAATTTTTAAGTGCTTAGCTTTTTTCTAGTTATCATATTTCTTAATATACTAATCCACTTAGATAACTAATGTCATCGTCAGCATCCTGAACCCATAAACATTCAGAAGGCATATAGGATTCTAGAGATGGCTTCCATCATACAACACCTTGTCCTATATAGCACTAAATTCTCATTTTTCTCACGTGAAATGCTTAAATTCAATTTGTAATAGCACAAACATTTTAACCAGAAAAGTATTATACACATTATTTCTTGGTCTCATGATTTTATTCCATTATTATAACTATGAAGGGGGAGACTTGTCCCAATAGTATTTTGATATGAACTCGTTTATCTTTAAAGTTTTTAGTGAAATAATAATCGTTACATCAAAAGATGCCTCAACATATAAGAGTTCAGCTTGTTTCTATATAAAAAGTTTCATACTACTAGATACTTGCTTATTATCCTAAGCATTCCAAATCTATTTTTTTATTCATCTATACTATATGTTCTTTCTATTGTTAATTAATCTATTTCATATGCTCTAGATATGCAAATTTTGCATTATTGAAGAGTAAATTATATAAACTTATGTCAGTAGAGTAGAAGCTTTTATCAAAAATTCAATACGCACACATAAAACTTGTAAATGACTAAAATTTTTTTATTTAGAAAACCCGAAAAGGAAAAAATCATAGGGCCTAGCCCTGTTAAAAAAATCACTATGTAATAGGAGATACAATGATCATCTCTTTCTCACAATTGAAGATGAGAGGACTATTTGAGAACAAATGTATGAATTCTCTATAGGGATTAGAAAAATAGTGTTCATAGGTGAACACAAAATACCCAACAATAGGATTAGATCCTGATAGGAGTCTAGAGATGGGGCGGCTATTGCTAACAATGGTCTCAATAATAGGGTTGAACTTGATACGAGACTAGAGATGATGGTGGTCATCAGAGTAACAATGGCTAGTGGTGGTCGTCAGTGGCGATAATTGGTGGTCGTCGTGTTGATAGCATGAAAATGCAAGAGAGCTCTCTTCTCTCTACACACCTCTCCCTTCACATGTAGAGAATGAGACTTTATTTATAGGGTTTTTTTAGATAGTCATTTTGATAAATTTGGTCAAAATTCAAAGCAATCCATCGTGCAATCCATAATGATTCCCTAGGTCATGAAGCATCTACCGCACAACAATATAATTAGGTGTCTTAATAACATTAGAATTAAGTGATTTTGGGCTTGTTGGATTCATCTCATTGAGACATTCGATTTGACTATAAGCACCCTGAATTTGGAAATCATTCAATCATGCAATTAATGTTTGAAGTTTCTAATTATGCATCAAATGTTTGATTTAGTCTTGTTTTGACTTGGGTTGGACCATTTTTTATATGGTTGGTTTGCCTTATCGAGGGCTTAGTTCGTATATAAGTTTGTTAAAATTTGAGTTCATATAATCTTAATTTCAAATATTTTCAATTTAAAATTTGCTTTGAGATTCATTCTAATTTTTTAGATATATATTACAAAAAATATTTGGTTAAGAATATTAAATTCTTTTTGAGATTAATATAATACGCCCCGCTTAAAGTAATGCCGATTTTAAATTGCATGACATGTTAGCGCACACCGATCCGTTTTGCCAAACATATGGGGCTATTCGATTCCATTAATATAAATATCTCTGCTGAGGGGAGAGACCAAATCGGAAATCAAAAATCGAGAGGCAATGGAATTAGTCCTGGACGACTTGCCGGCGTTAATCTTCTCAGCCGGAAGCTCCACCACCACCACCACAACAACAACAACAACCGTCAACGACGACATCAGCTGGGAGGACTGGCTGTCTCCTCATCTCAACTGGTCCCACGAAGACTTCCACCCTTTCCTCGCCGCCGTCGGCGACCATTACTTTGCCACCCTACCTCACAACATCCAAAACCAGTCCTCCAGTACCAGCTCAACCACCACCACTCCGGAAGAGGACCCCACACCTCCCACCAAGTTCCCCATCGAATCCAACAAGACGCAGAGGCTTCTCCACCTTCTCACGGCGGCTGCTGAGGCTCTCTCGGGAGACCTCAATGGTCAAGATCTCGCTAGAGTGATATTGATTCGGCTCAGGGAATTACTCTCAACTGATAACGCTGGTTCCGGCATTGAGCGCCTCACCAATCACTTCACCGAAGGGCTCAACGCACTCCTCGACGGTGACGCCACATTCCCTCGCCGCAGCGAATCCAACCAATTTCCCTACCGCCATTACCCCGCGGCCGAAGTCCTCACGGCTTTCCAATTGCTTCAGGACATGTCTCCCATCGCCAGTTTTGGTCACCTCACTGCCAACCAAGCCATAATCGAGGCCGTCGCCGGCGAGTGCCGCGTTCACATCGTTGATTACGATATAGCGGAGGGAATACAGTGGGCGTCCCTAATCCAAGAGATGGCATCGAGGAATGACGGCTTGCCACCGCCACATCTTAAGATCACGGCAGTTACGAACGGTAAACGGAGATCGGCGTCGGCGGCCAAGGAAACAGGAAGAAGACTCTCCGACTTCGCGGCATCCGTCGGCCAGCCGTTCTCTTTCCGGCTATGCCGGCTTGACCAACATAAGCGGTTTCATCTGGCGGCGGTAAAGTTGGTCAAAGGAGAGCCGGTGGTGGTCAATTGTGTGCTGAACCCCGGACAGGTCGGCTACGGCCACGGTTCAGTCACCTCAGTTGGCTCTTTCCTCGTCGGCGCCGTGGGGCTCAGAGCCCGGCTAGTCACACTCATCGAAGAAGATATAGGTGCAGCTGCCGGAGAGGAAAAAGGTAGCTTTTTGCGGAGATTCATGATTGAATTGGAGCGGTACATGGCGATCTGGGAGTCGCTGGAAGCAGGGTTCCCGAAGCAGGGGAGGGTTAGGGAAATGGTGGAGAGGGTGATACTAGGACCGAGGATCATCGGTGCAGTGAGGAGGGCATACGGATGGAACGGCATCCGCGAGCCGATAGTGGAGGAGTGTGGGGAGTGGATGGCGGCGGCCGGATTCGCGAGGGTGGGGTTGAGCTTCTCCAACCTCTGTCAGGCTCGGCTGCTGCTTGGGCTCTTCAATGATGGATACAAAGTAGAAGATGATGCGTCAAACAAGCTCTTGCTGAGTTGGAAGTCTCGCCGGCTGCTTTCGGCCTCTGTTTGGACGATTCCAACGCGGATGTCACCTTCGCCGTCGCCATCGCTGGCTATTTGAAGGTGTCTATCTATCTATAGTTTTCTATGAGGAGTTTGGATATGATGGCAGTAGGTGTTGGTCTTCTTGTCTGTTCAAATTCAGTGCTTGTTGTTTGACTATGGATAACGGTGCTGATTTTTTTTTTTTTTTTGGACATTTAGGTCATTTAAGGGAAACTCACGCATACACAAAGACTCGAACTCAAGACCTCTTAGTTGAAAGCCTAAGCTCTCAACCAACAGGTCAAAGTGAGCTGTATAGGGTGCTGAATTCAGATTAGATTTTATTAGTTTCAAGTTGAGTAAGATTTTATTTGAGATAATTTTTTTATTATTTTTTAAATCAGTTTTTTAATAAAAAATTAAAATTTTTTTGCTAGAAAGCTGCCTTAAAAAATAATAAAATAGTTACCCCAAACGAAACCTAAGACTTTATTTGTGAAGGACTTGTTACTACTTCTTAAAATAATTTTTTAGTATAAAAATTAAAAAATTTGTACTAAAAAACTAATTTAAGAAGCAATAAAAAGTTGTCTAAAATGAAGCATGAGTCCCAGCTGTTATTAAAATTTCTTCCACTTATTTAAGGATTCATCTCACTTCACAAACTAGTTAATGTTTTAATTAATCGCATATTGATATATTTTTTTTAATTATGGCATTTATTTTTTTTATGTCACCACTTTTTGTCTTTAATATTTGTTTAGGGATTCATATGCATATTATATAACTCCAATATATTTATTTATCTAATATTTAAATTATTATGTTTATTTGATATAGCACTCTATTTTCTTGGATGATATCAAATATATCATAAATATATAATTATATATTTTCTTATGTTATTTAAAATTTATAATAATATCTAAATAAATATAAATATTTATTTGATATATATGTAAATATATTGGAATTTAATGGCATTTATGTGAATCCCACTATTTTTTGTAATAAAAATTTTGAATATAAAACAATAAATATTTAGGAGAAATTCAATTAATTCGATGACATTGGTAACAATTTTTAATATTTTTACAAACTAAACTAGCTGATACCATGAGACAAACAAAATATATTCTCAAGCATACTAAATTATATTCTTATTGTTTTCTTATAGAATAATAATGCATTTATTTCCTTATTATTTTGAGCATAAATCTCATTCACAATAGGATATTTTTATAAAACAATTTTATAATTTTAAAGTTGTTTTTAAATTTATTTGAAATATTTCAAACATTAAATAAAAAGTATAAATATATTTATTGGAAATTTATTTCACTCTTTTAACATTAAAAATTTAATATGTGAGCCGAAGAAAAAATAATTTGAAAAAAAAATTATAATAATGAATATTTTCATTTCCCATGTTGCGTTACTAAAAATAATTAGAAATCAATCGATTGAGTGATTATTATTTTTTAGCTTCATTTTAAAAAAAAATTCTTATTTTGAGATTTAAAAATTAAAAAACAGTTATTTCATAAAAAATATTTAAAGGCTTTTAAGGAAAAGCAATGAGCTGTCTAATGATCCATTCATCTTTTAATTTTGTCTTCCAAAATTATCTAGTTGAAGGTAAATAGAGAGATAAGTGCTGCGGTGCTATTAGGTAGGCTGGAGACAGAAAGTTGAGCATTGTGGAGCTCCAACCCTAGTGTCGTGACAATATGAAACATGATGGGTAGTTTTATTTTTTTCATTTTTCATTCAAGTTTGTGCCCTTTGATGTTTTTTGTATGTGATTCTATTTGTTTGTTTGTAAGAGAATAGTGCAATGGTGAAGCAAGATAAGGAGAGAGCAAGAGAAGAGAGATATGTACTATTTATCCCAAACTTTCATTGTGAATTTCTTACTATGGTGTGACTCTGTGATTTTTTTTTTTCATATTTCATATTTTTTTGCATTAAACCCTATTGTTTTTTTTTTCTCTCTGTTAAAATTTTATTTTTCTTAGTTGTTTTGTTGTGTGGTTTTACTTACCAAATAGACCCCAAGTTTGGCATAACATCTATAGCATATCAACCATAAGAACTCGCTTTACAAGCAGCAGCAAGGTACTTTCATCCTTGGTTTTTAGTAAGAAGGGGACTTTTTTTAGCTTTGGTATTCCATCTAAAAACAATCGTAAGAGAGGGTGAAGCTATATGTTTGTAGAAACAAACATTATTAAGACTTCGTTTGGGGCGGCTTTCTTCCTGCTTCATAAAGCTATTTTTTAGTATAAAAAATAAAATTTTTATACTAAAAAATCGTTTTAAGAAGCAGTAAGAAAGCCATCCCAAACATAGCCTAAATTAGTGAAAATGCCTAGATATTAATGTAATAGCAAACGTGGTGGAATAAGCTGAATCACTTACATTTTGGTGTCACTTTTTGTGTTGTTTACTTAGTAATCATAACTTACTCTTCACCATTTCCTGCTGTCTTTACTTTCAATCATGAACGTAATAAGAGTTGTTTTCATTAGGGGTGTCAAAATCGGGTTTCAAGTCAGGTTCGGGTTGAACCTGGAGCTTACCCGATTGAAACTCGTCGACCCTAACCCGACCCAGGTATATAAACGGGTTGGAAACTCAGACCCGGACACGACCTATCAGGTTCGGGGTTGACCCGACCCGACACGGATTCGCATATGGCAGTGGCGGGACGAAGAGCATCAGGCGCGTAGGATGGCCGGCGGCAGGCTGCGGGCATCCGCGGACGCGTACGAGCGGGCGGTGGTTTGCGAGCGAGGAGCAACAAGGGCAGCCTCGAGCGTGCGGCGTGAGGGCTGTAGCTGGCAGGCGGGCAGGGGAAGCAGCTCAGGCAGCTGGGGTAGCTCAATTTAATCGGGTTTTCGAGTTGACCCGGCAACCCGTCGGGTCAACCCAAACCTAACCCATTTTTCAAACGGGTCGAATCTAGGAACCCGAACCCGACCCGTTTTGAAATCAGGTCAGGTCCAATCTGAAATTTTCGTGTCGAATTTGAGTCGGGTTTTCGTGTCATGTCAAATATTGTCACCCCTAGTTTTCATGAAGGAATATTATGCAGCAAACACAAACAAAAAAAGCAGTGAAAAAAGTACATAAAGATTTAGCGTGAAAAATTCAAATAAAAAAAAAATCACGAAGCCACACGACATCAAGAAATCTATCATGAACATTGAGAGAATTTTTACATCTATTTTTCTCTCACTCGCTCCTTATCTCTCTCTATTTCTTGCATTCCTCTATTTGTCTCCAGTCTAATTTATAACACCACGTAGGGGTTTGGTGTGTCGCTGCACTCTGCTCTCTCTTTCTAATCAACATGAGTGTGCAACGCCACAACACTTGAATATGTAGTGCAGCAGTGTTGTACAATTAATAATAAAATCCGATAAATCAACTCAATCAGATTTCACACAAAACTTCCAAATTGTTGGTGCATTTACATCATCTTTACCTTTATACCATTTTTTTCATTCATAATTTGTATGCTTTTGTTGAGATACTTAAGACTAACCAAATAAATTTTGACGGAGAAGTGACTAACGTTGATGAGGACTTGCCACTTGGCAGCAACTCCGGGCTGGCCATTTCAAGTATCTGCAGTGCTTCCTCATCATAGTAGATCGTATTGAAATAATTATGAGAATTGTCTAGTAAAACCTGTCTTTTTATTATCCTAAGATCACAAGGAAATTCTTAAGAGTTTCAATAACCAAACGAATATGTGATTCAAAAATTTTGGATTCGGACTAATCTGTTTGAAAAAAGGGTCGAATTCATGTGTTAAATTCGGGCTAGGGTTAGGTAAACCTAAACTCAACCAGAAACTGACCCAGTCGGCTCCCACACAGCAGCGAGCTCAATCCCGCCCTGTGCTCGCAGCCTCGCACCAAGACCCAACCCCAAGCTCACATTGCAACCTCCCGTGGTCACACTGTGACCCCGCCTCGTGCTTTCCCAAGCATCCCCCGCTTGCCCCAGTGTCCCGCTGAGCTCATCCCCGCAATAACGGCGACTAATAAAAATTGTAAGCATTAGAGTTGCTCAACATTGAAAATTAGGTATTAAGAGACAGAGTATTAAAATTCTCTCGATTCCAAAATTTTACTCACATAATTCTTTTTTTAGAGGCCAATTTATCTTTTGTATTTTTTGGACATCAGTCCTTAAATGAACACAAATTCTAGTAAACTTAGGCTTCATTTGGGACGGCTTACTTTTTGCTTCCTAATGTTAGAATAATTAAATATATTAATTATGCAAGACGTCACAATAATTATTTAAGAATATATATTTAATTTTATAAACAATTATGTGGCCCATATATTTGAATTATTATAATTTAATTATTTATGTTTAAATCCTATTGGTCAAGAAAAGATAATTTGATCATTCGTTTATGAACCGTTTGATCAAATAACTCCTATGAGCGGTTATTATAAAATAACTCCTTTGAATTATTATAAAATAACTCCTATGAGTTATTCTAAAATAACTCATATGAGCGTTTATTGTAAAATAAC